TTTCACCCTGCAGCCAAATCCAAGGAGGCGGCCCGGTCAGGAATGAGTCCATCCCTCTGAATAATTAGGACTTCAAAGTCTGTAATATTTAGTTATGACCTGTTTGAAAACTGGAGAACCCCTTTAAAAAAATATGTGATTGATGCTGTCGTTTGTCCACAAGCTGACTGTTACTGTCTGACCAAAACTACTCACAACTTTAGTTAGATTAAGTTATCCTTTGAATTGTAAACACTTAACCTCTTTGAGCACACACGTAGTACAGTAATGGTAGTAATAGCAACTCAGTGGTTTACTTAATATTAAGCAGTTAATTGAAATTTAGGACAGTCTGAATGTTTGTTTCTGCATTTATTGTTACATTATGGCATAGTAGCCCTTACTTTTTCGCATTATGAGGGCACTGTATAGTGGATAAAGTTTTTTAGGGTACATCTTTTCAACTTCAGCAGCAACTCTTTGTTTAGACATGGTCAAGACAACCTGCTGTCTTTCAAACTGAGCATCAGAAGGTGGAAGGTAGGTGATCTGTGTTCCCTTGAGTGAGGTATGGGCTGAGATTTGGGCCAATTTCCTGATTCTACCATACCGATGTGCATTATTCTGAGCAAACTGGTTAAATCTATGAATAATTGAGCCAGTTCTGGAAGCAAAGGTGGGTCCAACCTGGTATTAGCAAGGTGGACCTAATAAAGTGACCAGTGAATGTATAGTCTTGTAATTGGATAAATTGGTAGTGGATGAGTTTCATTTCAATTCAATTTCAATTTTATTTATATAGCGCCAAATCACAACAACAGTTACTTCAAGGCGACTCAAGTTTTTCTCACTATTTTGTAAATAGGAAATAATTTCAGGTATAGTCTCTAATTTGTGTTCGTTGTGTTATTTAAAATAGTAACATAGACAAACTTCAGACAGGAGTACCCAGAGATTGCACTCAAAACCTCACTAGTAACCATGTAAAACATCTTAAGGCCTGAGAAGAAATCAACCCCAGTGAGTACATAATATTTGTTGTAATCTAAGAGACTATTTTCAACAAAATACAGTCCTTTCTTGTCCTTTTTTGTTAGCTGTTCTGGCACCTACACTACCTCTGGAAAGACACACAAAAGCCTCTGCCTCGTGAAATAAATTGGTGTAAATCTCCAGTGAATCCTCAGTGTCTCCGTGGCATTTTGAGAATTAGGCTGCCCATATATCACCAAAGACAGAGATTAGCCTACAGAAGGCGAGCCACCTTTCCACATAGCTCTTATTACCTTTTATCCTCTGGTTTCACAATAAAAGTCAGACTGTAAGTCTACAAGAAAATGACCTTACGTGTTACTGGTTGTATGAAATCAGTATTTGCTTTATGGTGTCAGTTGCTCAACTTAAAATGTGTTTTAACACAGAATAATGTTTTTTGTGAAATGTAGTCCTTATTGGACTTTAAAAAAAAAAAGAAGATGAAGAAAAGCAGCATTTTCTTATGTTGGGGCTACTCAGACCTAATCCTCACTCAAAACACCAAGATGGCGATTGTCTGTCTTTTATGTACAGTCTATGTTTAAATCGTATTAGTGAGGGGCCTGAGCATATGTGTCATGATCCCCAAAGAAGGACCTCTTGGCATTGTTGCATTATTTCCACATTGCCACTTTAACTTCATCATGAAACCTCATTTGTTTTGGCAAGCAGTCCATAAATAATGTTTTCAAAGGACTCAAAGGAGTCTCCATCATCCCACCCTCGGTGCTGGTATTTTTCCCCAACTGTCCCCTCAACTTATAATTCGTTGCAGATCGTTTCATGAGAGTTTCCCACTGTGGTTTGTTCAGTGACATCATTGCAAACATGCAGCATACTGCGAGCCTGTTGGAGTCAGTAGTCATCCTCGTACTGGGGAAATCATAATCTGGGGGGCAGTGGGGCCCCCTAATTGCTTTGTGTAATAATACGCTGCAGCGATGCACTCTTCTGGGATCCATGAATGTAAATGCTCCCCCTCCTCATCATCTCCTTTCTTCATTAAAACATAACGTCAGCACTGTACCAACAAAGGGACAATTCACAGAGGCTGGAAGCGTGGTGCATGTGCACAAATGTTCCCTTTGGGTATTATTAGTAACCCGTGCTCTTGTGTATTTCATATTTATTTATTTATCCAGCCAAGTCAATTAAAGCCAAATTCTTATCAACAATGGCATGCTTGCAGGGGGGGAGTGGATGGGAAAACTAAGCTGTACAAAATAAACAACAGTTGTTCTTTTGCATCGGTGTTGATATAAAAAAATACAGTCTTCATGAATTACATTATGTGTATGACACTGACATTTATCCCAAAAAATGCACATCTGCGTTGTGTAAAATTGGGCAGAAGAATGCAAAATAAATGGAGAAAATGAATCATTATTTATTTATATTTATGATCAACAGAGTAAATATTTAGTCTGACAATGCCGCAAGCATTTCCAAAACCCCCAAATGAGGTGGACTTACAGTTCAAAAATCACCAGCCCTCCCCCCCAAAGCATCAAATCCTTAAAATGTTAATTACAGTCAAAACACTTTCTTCAGCTTCAGTTTTGTTTACACCACAGAGTCAGAAGAGGAGAAGATAAAGAGTGTTTGAAAAGACAAGAGAGGAAAGTGCTGTGCGGCTTTGTAATTTCACATGAAACATCTTAAATCAGCCGAAGGATCCCACAGAAATCCCCCAACTGAATAGCTCACAGAGAGAGATGGGACAGTAATGCACAGAGCTGAGCCAGCCATCACCACTCAGAGCCGTTCTCATCCTCAGCACTCACTCAGCCTAAACAAGCAGACAGCTGATTCTTCTCAGGGTGGCCCGAGTTTAGACACTGGTGCAGATAGACTGGAGCGTCAGGAGAGGATGCGCAGCTGCTGCCGAATCTCCGAAATGTGACAATTTTTCCGCATACTGCTGAAGCAATAATCAATTTAACAAATTCAGACTATCGACCGTATATCCTTTAAATATTCTGGAAGATAAAATCTAAATGACAGGAAACTAAAAATGGAGTTTAAGCATTAAAAAGTTGCTGTGGATTGAAATCTTACAGCATCCAGCAGAGGGCAGACTTGCAATAAAAGAGGAATAAGCCCTTTAGTGAGTAATTGGATCACTGTAACTCTTCTCCTAATGCATTTTGTGGTCCTTTAGTAAGCTGATAAGGTAAATCTAATTTAATTTTGATCATTATGCCTGCAGGCAGTGCTTTCAAATTCCCATCAGTTATGTATTTATTCGGTCAAATGTGCCCGAGTTTCATTTCTGTTTAAGAGTGAGAGAAAAAGGAGAGTGTCACAAGGCAAATACGGCACATGTGGTGTGGATCAGGATTCATAAAACTGAGGGGTGTCCAATCTGATCTGTAAATTATTGTCATGCTGAAGGCGCTGAAGAACTTCTTAAGTCTTGGCTTTGAATTGCCACCCCCACACCCTCCCCTCCCCTTCTTTTTTTTTTTTTGAGTCCAAACACATGTTGACCATCACGCTTTCCTTTCTTTCTTCCACAGGCGACTGCATTCTTGACCTGAAAAGTCCTCACAGTTGGTTTTCATAATCACACTGCCACACAGCTGACAGCAAGATGAAACCTTGTTTTCTACGCTTTTTGGGATATTAATCACTGTGCAGAGCTCTTACATTTTCTGCAAGAGGCCAGTGTGGTGAAACTACTGCAGACTAGTCTCTCCAGAGCAGAATCAGTCTTTTTTCATTATTGTTCTTTAATATTTTGAGAGGAGAGAAAAAATGGGCTAGCTTTCTGCTTCAAATATGAGGGAGCTTTACTAGACTATGTTTTTTCTCGCAGCCTACATTAAAGACAGAACAATGCACGCACAGTACCATCATCACTTGCATGGTACCATGAGTGCTTTTCATGAATTGTTCAATTGCACAAAGATTCAAATTATGTTTTTTTTCCCTTCTAAGAATAAAAAGATTCTTATTCTCAGACACATAATGAAGCCTCACGGGCAGTGAAAGAAAAGGCAGCAGGCTGAAGATGTTCCCCAGGAGCTGGGCTGCAGGGAAATTTCACAATAGACCCTTTATTCCAGAGAGTGACTGAGTAATAATTCTTCTGCAGTAAATAACAGCAACAGTTTGTATAAAAGAGAAGTGCAGTGGACACATTTTAAAGATTAGGTTACAAAACCGACCTTTCTTAATAAATGCACAGTGTATCATAGAGGCTGAATCACTACTGTAGCTTTTTTACAAAAGTCAAAATACAAAAACCACCACTTTTAAGACTGGTGCACAGTTAAATGAGTTCAAGTGAGCTGCAATGAGATGAGCTGTTCGTGAAAGGTTTGGATAGATAGCTATATCAAGCTAGCTTCCATATAGGTACTTCATAAAATACTATGTATATTTTTATTCAAATTTCCTTATATTTGATTGATCTGAAGCTAAAAAGTGACGGCAGACTTACTTTGGGCGTCATACTGAGAAACTACTTCTTATTAACAAACACTGTTACCTGTAAGGTAAGCGCATTTGAACATAATTGGAAAATTAGCCCTGTTAAATCACGAAGCGTCCTGAAGAGGGTAGTGTTTGTTTTAAGGTGGCACGACGGCTGAAAACTGATTTAACCGAGGACTCCGAACTAAGAAAAACGCCACCGGGCAGCCACGGAATGCTAATGGGAATAAATATACGGACTGTAATTCGTATTTAACTCGAGTGACTCAAATAACTTTGAAATTTAACCTGAAACAACAACAAGTGCCTCTTTCAGTGCGCGGTGAAGTCAATGGTGCCTCCTTAACAGAGTGCTGGCACTTCGGAAAGGGGAGTGCAAAGGAGAGGGTCAGAACGAGTGGTGGGTGGGGATAGAGCCCTTTTGGGAGAGAGAAAGAAAAAACTAAAAAAAAAAAAATCACGTGTTTAGAGATCAAAGGAGATCCGCTTTGTAGAGGAGGAGGAGGAGGGTGAGAAAAAAGAGGGAGCGAGAGGGAGGGAGCGAGAGAGCAAGGGAGAGAGGCAGCGTTTGCAGGCAATGTAATTGACAAGGCTCGCAGTGGTGAAATAAACACGCTTCAGCCAAGGCTCAGTTTTTTATTGCACAATTTTGACTCTTGACGCATCGCCCGCACAGCGCACAGACCTGATTTCGATTATTTTCACCCGATTAATTCATCCGTGTGAAATTATGTCCCGATCGGCGCAGATCCAGCCGGCAAGATGATGATTTTACCAAGGAGAGGCTCAGATCGTGTGCCCGACTCGGTGGTCTTGGTGATCTTGGTGGTCGCCGCTTCTCTTGGTACCGTCTTCGCCAAGGATACAGCCTTTGTGGAAGTGGTTCTGTTCGAGTCCAGTCCCAATGGAGATTATACTACTTACACGACTGGCTTGCAAGGACGGTTCTCCAAAGCAGGAGCCACTATCAGCGCGGAGGGGGAGATCGTTCAAGTACGTGCAAAGTGTCCTTTTTCTTACTGGGGGGGGGATGACAAGCGGCGGTCCCGAGCAACGCTACCGGGACCCGGGCTGTAATTTAACCAAGCTGCCCTCCTAGAAACTTTTTCCGCTGGGACTTAGGGGTGCTGACAAGAGTTGTACATGGTGTGTGTGTGTGTGCGGGCAGTGTGTGTGAGGATGGTAACGAAGCTTGCAAGCATATGCGGTCACAAGATGGCTCCTATCTTGTGGAATTCATTCACAGGGAAAACATGCTCTTGCAAGTTATTTTGTTGATGTCTGGAGCTCACTTGAACGCGCCTTACATTCAGTCGCTCTCACTCTGAAACACACGCATTTCGGAGCAGTTTTCTTAAATAGCTACAACCCTACCACCGCCTCCACAAAGTTTGCAAACTCGTAGCGAGCAGGCGTTACGCATTTCGCAAGGGCCACTATCAAAACACCACGAAGCCACTATTTGTGCGTATTTAGCACTTTGTCCGTGTCAGAGCTGAGCCGCGTTTTTATATCAGCTTTAAAACCACCCAAAGCAAGTTTTAATAGTGGAATAGGTCTGCTTTTATTGACCGGACCAACGTGTAAAATAACCCCACGTCCCGCCGCCTGCACCCTGTTGGTGTGCAGCCGTCACCACTACATTTGTAGTGGCACGTTTTTTGGATAAGGCTCACTTGTAACTATTTCAAGGCTCCGGAAACACAAATAAATAAGAATAGAGTGCGTAGTAGTCGTGGAAGAAGCATCCCGGTTCCATCTTTAATTTCCTGGCCTCAGACATGACAAGTGCACTTGGCTGGAGCTGGCTATGCTTGGACCAACTCTGTGTGGGAGTCGCTAAAATATGAAGCTTCTCTTAAGTGCCAGAAGGATGTATTTGATGTTTTATTATTCTTGCCTAATGTGCTTGGACACTGTTTTTAAGAGTTTGGGTTCTGGTTATGTGCAAAAGCTTTGATGTTTAATGTTATATTTCCTAACCTCTAACATGTCCTGGATCAGGGGGTGCACAGCTCTTTGTGGGCGATTCAAAGCCACTCAAATGTAAAGCAGTTTTTGAATGGCCTGTGTCCTCTCTTTGAAGCTTGATGCAGTAACTGGGAGATGTTTGTAAAAGCCAGAGTGCAGCAAATGCCCCCATATGAAGGCAATGTGCATAAAGTTTGTCAGCAGTTGCATTGTGATCAGAGACATCATTTCAATATGGGTGTCAGTGAGCTCATCAGTACCCCGGAAGCCACAGCAATAATCATTCCTGACCATTTGTTTTTGCAGGTCGTGGTGGATCTGAGGCTTAATCAGGTTCAGCCTCAGTTGTGTTGTTGCATTGCCGTCATGCTCTCCAGTCAGCCAGACAGCTAGTAGCACCCTGCAGCCATCCCTCACGTCTCTGCAACAGTGTAGTCAGCTACTCTGCAGCATCTTTTGAGTGCACATTTTTGCTTCCCCCCCCCTAAAAAAACATAGGCTCTTATTTTGAAATAAACACGATATGTGGAGATCAAAGGCAGGGATACTCAGCACAAAAATGGGCCCTGTTTATACACAGTGATGGCCATTTGGCGCCACTCGGTAACCACACAGAATTGTCGGACCTCAGCTTTACATTGAAAACCACATCTATTTAGGTTTGCTTTCTTTGCTAACATGGCCTCTGACCACTTAGAGACAGCTTATATTTTGTCAGGCTATAATGAGGGGCAGTTTGTCCGGCCCGAGCACTGTCTTGAATTTCCTATTTTACCAAAGATTTATGTAAGTTGAAACTGACAATGAATGACAATCATACATCGTGAGGAGTATAATTTAAAACTGGTATCCAATTTCCTACTTTTGAATTCTATACTTGTAAAATAACATTGCAGGAATGTGTTGGGAAATTTCTGTGGTGTTGTTTTACACTGGAATTGGGTTAAACTCAAATATTTAGGTTCTTGTCTCTGGTGATGTCGGCAGCCGTTGCACTTGTCCACTTTCAAGGCTTTCGAGTTCAGCGAATAAGCAGCTCGCTTAAGTCTTCCTGAGGTTTGTGGAGCCCTCTGGTCCTCTGTTTGATCAGAACCCTGAGGGGTTTGCGCTACCTTAATTGTGTGTGTATAATAGCGGTCAGACCTCAGCAGGTATGGGTTCAGATTCCGGGGAAAAGTGGGGGGGCCTTGGCAACACTCTTGAGCAAAGACCCAACCGCGATCACCACTCGTACGCTCCGGACTCTCGTTTTGCTAATTCCCTAAAGCTAACACCCCCGCTGATCTGACTGAAGAGTGCAGAAAACAGTGGCACACGCTCCCGGGGCCAAAAATAATAAATTAAGTTAATTTGCTTCTTGCGCTCTTCTAAAAGGGGGGAAGCATGATGACGCATATCTGGCCACAGTGCCAAACCCCAGGCTTCCCAAGGCAGCTCCCTGATTGCTACAGTTCAGCTCCATAATAGCAAAGTAATCAATGTCTCCTTAAATCACTGTGTGTGTGTGTGTGTGTGTGTGTGTGTGTGTGTGTGTGTGTGTGTGTGTGTCAACAGGCGTGACAACTTTAAGAGTGTATTTACAGCATCAACTCAACTTGGGTTCTAGGCAACCAGAGCACAGGTAGTTAATGGTTTTCACCTATTGTCCCAGATGAAAATACTTGCCTTATAGGCTACTATAATGAAGGAAAATGAGCAATTAATTAAATGGGGGGAAAGCCCAATTTGGATCACCTGCGATTGAACTACTGAATATTCGATTTCTTGTTTTGCAGTCTTGCTGTACTTTTCCACGGGTTAGCGGCAGCTCAGACTTCGGTTAAACCTTTAATGCAGGGCATTGACGGCACAACCAAATCATTCCCTGGTTGATTCAAGTAGGTGCGTTTCTCACGCTGGCAGCAGATCCTGCTTCTGCATTTACCGATAGTTTGATTTCAGAAGCCTAAACACTCAGTTAGGCTTCTCATCGCTGTGCTGCTTTCATTCTGATCGCCGTTGACAGCACTCGCATGGCATTTCTGATTAGAATGGATTTAATACGAAGGGAAACGCCATCTGCTGCTCATCACTCTTTATTGTCTCTCAAACGCCAAATCATCTTTCCTGTAGCGAGATGAGCTTCGATGCACTGCATGAGTTCACATCTGCCTCTGATTTCCAGCGGGCCCGTGCTGTCAGCATGTGAGTGAAGAGCTGAGGCAGGGACGTGGCAGGGGCATGCAGGGGACCAGATGGAACTCATAGTGTCATCGGCCAGAACCAGAGGGAATAACGTGGCTCTTGCCTGCTTTCTCTCAGAGGGGACACAGAGCATCCCCTGAATCCCACGTCCAGAAGCACCCAGAACCCCATTTGCCTTTGGGCTTCATCTCCATGCATATGAACACTGCGACTTCTTTCAAGGTGGCAGTTTTGGGGGGGGGTTTGTTTTTTTTCTTGTGCAGGGGTAAAGTGGTGGTTTCAGCGAAGACAACGATGAGCTTAAATACTGGAGCTCCTACCTTGGAGCTGGCAGGAGTTGTGTCGCGCTGCATTTAGACTATAATGAGAGCTTTAGTGGTTTAAGGAATCCAGCGCGCTTTCTCGCCACAGCCTGGAAACCCCAAGAGGCCATAATGGGCCGGTCCCAGACGGTAGGTGCCAGGGACCGGGCCACTCCCAGCGCCAAAGCAACAGTAGCAGTACACAAATGCTGGTTTAAAAGGTTAAAAGTGCTGCTCCCTACTTTTTTCCATTTATTGGCTTGGCGGTCGCAGCTGTATTTTAAGTGCTATCGTCTCTTAACCGCCACCCTGTTTCACTTTCATGTCCCAGCCAAAGTAATTTGAGGCTGCGTTTCTCCCCTTTTTGGAATAGAACAGACTAAACTGTTTTTCTCTTTCTCTTGCTTAACACCCCCCTCTTATATGCACAAACTCATCCCACACCTTTGCTCTGGTCTTTTTGATGCATCCGCTGACTTCGAGTTGAAGCTCAGGTGAACTGGGCTAATATTGAATTGCGCTGCCCCTGGATCTTAGTTTCAGACCGTTCCCCCACCTCTGTGTCCCACTTATCCTTGCTCCAGTGGCAGCCTGATGATTAGGATACAGAAAGTCAGTTCATTCTTGAAATAAATCTCAGGGTTGCATTTACTTCCCTAAAGTCAAAACATAACTAAAAATTCCTTTATCGTCTAATGTCTTTAAATTTGGCTGAAAAACAGCTCAAATGATAGATTTCCATGTTTTGTTTTGTTTTTCAGTTATGACAAGTTGCACTTCTGAGGACACCAACCTGCTAACATCTGACATTTTTACTTCCCAATTGCTTGATATAGCAAAACATTTCTGTCAGATCCAATAATAGTAATTTCAAAGAAGTGTGTGCCAAATGGTAATGATTACTTTTAGTCAATACTGAGATGTCTGTCAATCTTGAAATGCCTGACTTCCTGTTTTGATCGCATAGTACTTGTCCAAACTTCTTTCAACTCAGAAATGCTGCTTCTCCAGCCCTCAACTGTTGTTTTTCTCACCTGCCGCTGGCTCTGTTGCTCTGTCTTATCTTCCTGCGCTTGCCTCTCCGAGCCTCACATTTCCACCGAATGCACAGCTCCACCTGGAACAAGTGCATGTTGGTACTGGTGGCCCCAGTAGCTATGTTAGTTTCCACTGGGCTGAATGGCTGAGCTTATCTTTGATGTTCAACTCCAAGAGAGATTAGCAGTCAGCGTGATGCTTGCGGCTGCCTCCTCTCCAGCATCCATCCTCTTCCAGAGTAACTTTGTTCACCCGAGTCAGTCCTCTCCTGACATGAGCTCAGACATGCAATCAATAGATTGCATGTCTGAGCTCACTTGTATGAAATTCTTGCATATGTCTTCTGTATTGCAGTTGAGTGATGAGGAAATATTTATTCATATTTCCCCCAAGGTTATGATTTTTCTTTGATGCTGCCTGTCTTAAGTGAGGGTTTTTCAACCCCACATTTGTGACAAGTTAAAGATGAAGAGAAGTCCTGAGTAGAGTTTTCACTTT